AGTAGAAAAATCTGGCACATGTACAAAATGTACAGGATGTACTTACTATTTGAAATATGACAGCATTTTCACCTTGAAAAATCGCATGTGTAAAAAAAAACAAATTCCACTCGAAATTCCAGTTCGAAATTTGGCAACACTCTGTCGAACATACTGTTTATCAACATTTTTATTTGTTTTTTTTTTTCAAAGGCCATTTGAATCTTTATTTATTCTCTGTTGTAACTATGTGTCCTATTGTCATATCCACATTTAATCTTGTTCTCAATTTTATTCCAGAACCCGTTGCGGAATTGGTTCCGAGAAATCATCAGGGTAGGTATGGTGTTTCCAGAATTGCTAGTCAACCTGATGCCCGCATCAGATGTGTGAACCAATTGTCCAAATTTAATTTTGTTCTGAATTTTATTTCAGGAACAGTGGCGGAATTGGGCCAGGAAAGTTATTTGGGATAGTCTTTTCCTAATAATTGCTGATTGGCTGATTCCTGAAGATTTTTTCCACGGACTATTGTGAAATATTTTATTAATTTGGGGGTATATACTGTAATGTAGATATATGAAATATGTACCTATATATTTTATTAAAAATGTAAAACTTGATGCAATAAAAATCCCATTACAGCAAAAATACATATTTATCGTGCGAGCATTTAACAATAACAATTCCCAATTTATTTATCAACTATCAAATTTAGTACAAATAAGCATCACAACCAAATTAACACAACAATTATTGACCTCTGAGCTACTGCTTGTGTGTAGGAAACATGTCTATCTAGAAGCTCTGGACAAGAAGTTGTTATATCCACAGTCAGTTCTATGCATTTTAAAAGAGAATCTAGAAGTGGATCGCGTGAGTCTGGAGGAAAAATGGATTTTTACTTTTCGTAATAGATCCGGTATAGGTAGACATTCTGTTGTGTAGTATATTATACAACAGTGATACATCTCGGGTTAGACAGCATCTGCTTATCATCCTAAAATATGATGTTCATTATTCATTTTAAATGCAGCGTATTCCAAAAACTTATGCTGTACTCGTTACAGACCATCTTTATAGACGATTTAAATAGGCGACCATACAAAGCAGGAATATAATAGGTCTTCAAAAAAAAAACATATCAAAGATTGCTAGTGAACTCTAGCAAAGTCAGTGTGCATCGCTTGATGAAACCAAGCATCTATAGGAGTCTTTATCGACTACGGAAAATAAATGGGAAGTAGAATTCAGGGAAGAATCGAGGGTGACGCCCAGACATTTTATTTCTCTTTAGTTTTCCAGGATTGATTGCATAGTTCTGCTGAATTGTATTTTCGGCGATAATATAATGAAATAAACTTGCACTTGACGGGGTTCCTCCAGCCATCCCATTTTTCTGGCATTAATCGACCCAGTTATTGAGATCATACTGGAGTTTATCACAGTCGTTCTAATTCATTATCACAGAGCTAAATTTTAGGTCATCAGTGAACAGTTGAAATTGTTGTGAAAATGAGCAAGACATTCTTCAATAATTTTGATAGAGACAATAATTAAACGGGCTCCCAAGTATGACTCTTGCAGCACCCCAGAAGCGGTTTTTATCTCAGGAACACCTACGGAAATTGGTACTTGTAGATTCTGTGAAGATTGGGAAGAGACACCTCTCTACCTTCTAAGCGCCTTTATGTGAAACCACTGGATATCCTAGGATTCCTAAAGGACTTAGGACTAGAGGAGCTGCTTCGAGCAGGAAACCTGAACTTAGTAGCAGAAGTAGGGGTACACTTCCAACACACATACACATATAATGTCGTTTGGTATTTATTGTTTGGCAGTTTAGCAAGAATTACCAGCCAATTTATGAAAAACTTTGCTATTACTAGGTAGCGGTTTTAATAAAAATGCTGCTTGGCAGTAGAAACGTGTTTTAGCCTAAAAAAATTATGTTTTGTGAAGGATATAGCAATTAATAGAATAAATTTTCTCAAAATAGTCTATTCTGCTTTGTTGTAACGTGTGTCAGAGGCTTTTCCAAAATTTAATGTGCAAGTGGTACATTCTAGTGATCATTCAATCGGGTTGAATATTTGTACCAAATCCACTGCTGACTCTGGCTAGTGTACAAGAATATTTGGCCAAACATTTTTTTTATGTAGGCAACACACTAATCAGTTTGTGGCAGAGAGGAGAGATCAACAATTATATCACATCTTTTGTATCTGTGCAACAGGTTTTCCACAGTGTTGTACCATTTCGTAGGAATAATACTGTTTCTCAAACAAAACACTTTTATATACAACTTTAGAAAAATATATTTAACCTCATATCTGAACAGAGTACCTATCCTAGTAATCGCAATCATAATCATCTATTCATCATGCCAATAAAACTGTTCACACACATCAAAAGCTAACTTCCAGTTACTTGAAGTGATATACACGATACAGAGGCATAAGACAATACATTTGCTCTACTTGATAATGGTAATAAAAAACTAAAATACAACAGAAGTAATACTCTAAAACATCAGAAAATTTATAAAAAATGTCTCCTAATGAAAAAAATTGTCAGGTAAAGTATTTTCATAAAATCTATATATACATTGGAAGTGCCTGATCGGAGATGGTCGACGCTGATTGACTAGATTTAGGGGCTCAACTAAGGCAACCAGGGCTCAATTTGAACAATAAATCCATTGCTCATTGTCCTGTGCGTTACTGGGCTGTCCTGTAGGTTTGCTTCCGATTTTCTTGTGAGCGTATGTAAAGTAGACAGTTTTAATTGTGAGCGGATACTTGGTTGAGTCGACACTTACATCCATGATTGGAAAAAATGCATTCGACCTACTCTATTTTTTTTTGAACACCTTCTGTTACAAACTGGACATACTTTGGTCCAAGGAGTAAATAACCGAGTTAATATCTAGATAAATATTATATCAATGTTGATTTCAAAACTTCAAAATCAACGGTAACAGCATATAAGATAAAATTTCAAAATCAGCTTTTTGAAACATATTTATTAGCAAGAGAGAGATATTGAGATTTCTATTCTCTCTATGTAAAATAAAATGTTAATGGTATGCTGAATGTGTGGCGAATTTGAACAAGATGCGTGGAATAATCTGATTCTGATTTTTGTTTGAGATACAAATAATAGTGTTATGAAATACAATTTCAACTATCAAAATATTTCTATTTGACAATTTTAATACCCTTGTGTCGTTGATTTTTTAAGCTGTTGTTATTTTGTCTACTACTATGTTGTGTATTAAAACATCATTATCGCCTTTTAATTGTATTAACTATTATGCACTATGGTGAATAAACCATAGTTTTAGTTAGTCTGATAAAGCAGAAGGATAGCAAAAGTCTTGAGTAAATATAGGGAGAGTCGAGTAAAAGATTTTCATAATTCATTTTCTCCAATCATAAAGTAGAAGGGTTATTTCTTATAATGTCAGAATCACGAAATCGCCCATGAAGTGTACCTAGTTCCAAAGAAGCCCAGGAAAACAGGCTAACAAAAAAAAGGAGAGCTCTTCTGAATGTTCAATAATAAATATCATTCAATTTTTCTGTCTTTTCTATTATGTAGCATACAGGGTGGCCCAAATTCGAGCCCCATCATTGAGATCTCGGAGACCGTAAGAGATACGGGGTCGGTAAATTATGGCTAAGATGCACATTTTGGTGCTTAACCAAATGCCGTTTTAAAATTTCAGAAATTCCTAATACTTGTTCCGAAATTCCGAAAATTGCAATTCAGGTTTTTATTCTTTCCTGGCTTTATTTTGACAGATCAAAAAAAAATCATGATAACTTTCTTGAAGCACTTTTGGGTGGACTTCACTGTGGTGATATTATTCTAGAAATTCGACGTTTCGGTATCCCAATGCCATCATCAGCCTAATTTTTTCTAATCCGGACTGGATTTTTTTTACATTTGTTTCGTTTTGACATTTTAAAATACGTCATACATAAAACGTTTAGAAATTCCGACGTTTCGACCGAAAACATTCATCCTCAGGTAAAATTATTACTATCATTTTTGAATACAATTCCGAATTCGCAATTTTCGGCATTTTCCGGAAGTGTTGGGATTACCTAAAATTTTAAAACGGTATTTTGTCAAAATCGACAACTTTGCCATAATTCAACTCAACTAAGCCCATATCTCTCACGGTTTCTGAGATCCCAATGGTTCGGCTCGAAATTGAGCCACCATGTATAGGTATAAAAGTTTGAGCATAATATAGTAAGCTAAAAACTGACTACAGAAATACCCCTAATCCAATCATCTAACGTCAACTACTACAACATTTACTTATTGAAGCAATTATGCTAATAGGTATAAGTACAAAATTTTGTACAAAATCATATGTTGTTGATTGAAGTTAACACTTTGTGGCAGGACATTAAAATATTTAGTTGTTTAATTCGTGGTTGTCTTAACACGTTACAAACAAAAAACTCTGCTAATTTCAAAGGCCATACCAACATTTTTCATATATATTAGAAATAATCGGCAAATAATGATACAATCCTCAAATAAATGCTACCTATTATGATAACCATATAAAATCTGACCAACGAGTGATAACGACAACGTGACAAAAGTTACTTCTTAGCTAAGAATTCGCTATTTAAACCTTGTAATGTGTCAGACACAAATCTTTTGACCAATTCGATGCAGAACACATGTGCCATTGCGCAAGATTATTCTTCTATTGCAGATATATCTGCGTTATTTAATTAGTAGGAATTCTATTTGTCACGTGGTCGTCATCTTTTGTAGGCAAGATGTTAGATAATATGCATGAACTCAAATGTATTTATTCCAAAAATATAATCAACTGCAATCTAAACAGAAGGTCCTTCTATTATAATCCTGAAAATAGGGCTAGATAAAATAAACATAGACAAATAAAATATGTAACACTAATTATAAAAAAGGAAACAAGTTTAAAAAACAGTAAAGTCATAATTATATAATGCATAACGTGGCATAAAAATATTTAATTCAAACTCTAAAAGAGTGTACTAGGTGAAAACTTCAATTATTTTTTTTATCCACGTTCTCTTTATCCTTCCCAGACTTTTTCTGATGTAGAAGCGGAGTTACTGGATTAGTCACTTTCTTACTCAACTGAATCTCTACTGGCTTATATTTCTTGATAGGATTAGCTTTGTACTCCGCCAGTTTTCTGTATTTCTCTCTTTCTTGTTGTTCTTGCTCAGCTTGCATCTCCTTGATGCGTTGCTTTTGCTGTTCCAGTTCTTCTTCACGCAACTTCATTTTTCTGTCAAACTCTTCTCGTTCCACACGTCTTGATTCAGTTTCCAGCTGGAACGGTACGATTATAGTAGCAGGTCTATTGGGTAGGCTGGGAATAAATGGACTTTTCTTGAGGACGGTTGCTTCACGAGCTTTAAATTGAGGGCAAATATTGTCAGTGCTTGGCTGAAAAAGACAAGGATAAACAAATTAACTTTATTTATTTTTGACCAGAGAAGTGCGGGGATGAAGGACTGTTTTTGAGAAATATCTGTTAATTCAAAGCAAATTTCGAAAATGTCAATAATTGTATTCCTTTTAAGAGTTTAAAGCACTAGAGCTACTCGCTCCGGTGTTAGTCGACCTCGATTTGGAAGGAAAAAATGCGCTGCCTTTCGTGCAATTAAATGGTTTGAATCGGGTTTGAGCACTCAGGTGCAATAAACACTTTTCGAGAGGAATAAGCGCGTAACGCCCCCGTGAAAGGAATACAACTATTATGTTGAAGTTAAAAACAGTTGAAGGTAAAGGTTTAGGATATTATTGGGGAAATGTGTCTAGAATTTGGTGTAGAATCTGAAAATGGAATAATATATCGGGTGTATTCTAGTATTCTAGAACACCCTTTTCAGTCCCTTTTGAAATATGGTAGTGGTACCGCATCAAAATCTGAAGCAAACGGATAAACACCTTATTTTTATTACGTTTTTGATATTTCAGCTCTGCATCACCTACCGATTTCTAAACCAACTTCAGGAATTGTTCTATATCTCCCTTGATATATCTATAACATGGAACACTTTCCTAAAGCCCTGATTGTAGTATCTCACCAAAAATCTGGAGAAAAAAACCACGAAAAGCTCATTTTTTATTGAGTTATGAAATGTTCAACCCTACATCCCCTATCGATTTCAAAACAAATTTGAGGCAGTATTCTAGAATGAGTCCCTGCTAAGAGACAGTAGTGGTAGCCTTCACAAAATCTCGAGAGAAAGTATAAAAACCTTGTTCTTATTGAGTCTTTTGATATTTGCTTACATCCATCACCTACTGAATCTCAAACCAATTTGAGGTAGTATTCTAGGACACCCTATTAAAATATGGTAGTGAATGGGTGAAGGTGCGCAATTGTGAATGCACCCCCTTGTGATACACGTCATTATGACGCATAGTTCTACGTCCTGAATTAACGACAGTCTTCTCACAGCTACCACTTGAAGACCATCCTTTCTCCTCCTCTCTCTCCTCACCACCCGAACACCCCAACATAACGCAGTCGGTGTAAAGGTTTTAAAATTCCAAGAATCCAAAATCACCCTGCTCATCGTATTACTTTTCCTGATTTTTTCTCGTGAAATAGCAAGGCAGTGGAACGCTTAACAATAGCACCATGGACTTTCGAGACGTACCCCTGTTGAAAATGTCCGAAAACTGGATGTTCTGGAAGCACTGTTTTCTAATCTATTTGCAGGCCACTGAGATCATCAAAAAAGAGCAGGTGGCACAATGTGCTCAATTATTAACCTTGATTGGCGAAGACGGCATTAGAATTTTCAACACCTTCACGTTTAAGCCTGATGAAAAAGACAAATTAGACATACTCATCAAAAAGTTTGATGACCATTTTCTACCAAAAAAAAATAATTTAACGTATCTAACACACAAATTTTTGAGCCACAGACAAAAAAAGGGTCAAAGTATAGATAGCTATGTGACTGACCTGAAAAAATTAGCTTTGCAGTATGAATTGGATACCTTGAAAGACAGATTAATAAAGAATGTCTTCATATGTGGTGTAAGGTCGGCAGAGGCTCGGAAGAGGCTATTGGAAGTCGCAGATGAGAAAACACTAGAACAAGTTGTCCAGTCAACTTTGAATGCCAAAAAATGCAGGAAGCACTCCAAGGAAATCGCCAATGGAAATGGACACGTCACAGTAGATGCTATTCGTCAAAACAACAGGACAACCCAACCTCAGAATAGCAGAAAGTGTGGGTCAAGGCATGGTTATGGTCAGTGTCGAGCCTATGGGAAGCAGTGTGGTGCTGGTGGTGGTCTCAACCATTTTGCATTTCTTTGTTCAAGTCCGAAAAGAAGTGGATAGGTAGCAGGAGGAACAAACAACTGGAAAAGGGACGAGATGGTGGCGGTTTCGATAATCAAGTAGGTTTTGAGACCGATTTTTATCATAAAAACTCAAATTTTGAAGATTATAACTATTATAAGAATCAAAGGTCAGATAATTTTAAAAAATATAATAATTATAAAAATAAAATTTGTCCACAGCAAAATAAATATGCCTTTAAAAACATAAATATTATAAAAAAATGAAAATGTCAATGTGAGGCTATGTCAGGCTCCAAATCAGAGAGTGACGAAAATATCAAGGTTAGAGAAAATAGTTTGTCACAAATTCATTCAAATAATTTTCAAAAGGATAGCAACGCTGAAGATCAACAGCCAGGTCAGCGAGATACATTGGGGCTCATGGACAACATCGGCAAATATCAATGGACAGCTCGTTGAATTCACACTTGACAATGGAGCAATGCCAACATCTTGCCCGTGGAAACTTTAAATAAAATAGGGTATGATATGCAAAGTTTAGAAAAAAAAACAAATATTATGTTAACCTCCTATACTGATAACACTTTGCCAATAAATGGAAGATGTGTCCTAGAATGTCTTGTAAATAATATAAAATCAAATGTTTTTTTTTTTTTTATGTGGTTGGTCGGAGAGTCAAAGGAATTTTAGTTTTGAAAAGTTGTATAGATTTAGAATTGATAAGGACAGTCGACTCAGTTGAGAGTCATGGTCATCTGACCTCATTAGTGAATAAATATGAATATTCAGTTCAGGGGTGAAGGTTGCTTTGATAAAACATACCATATAGATTTAAAGGATAACTATAAACCAGTAGTTGTGCCCCCTAAAAAAGTGCCATTTGCTCTTTAAAATAAATTAAAACTGGTTTTAGGGAAACTCGAAAAAAATAAAATCATAGAAAAAACGAATGAAAGCTCTGAATGGTTGAATCCAGTAGTAGTTATAAGAAAAAAAGGATGATTCTTTGAGACTCTGTTTAGACCCCAATGGCATTAATACTCAACTAAAAAAAAATATTATTGGCATATTCCCACTATTGAGGAACTTACATCAAATTGTCGATATTTCTCTACTCTTGATGCGATGCAGGGTTTCTCAATGATACCCTTGGACAAGGATTCTTCGGAATTATGTACATTTAGTGTGGGAAACTTAGGGAAATATCGTTATTTGCGCATGCCATTTGGTCTATCTTGAGCCCCAGAAAATTTTCAACAGAAAATGACACAAATCTTCTCAGACATTGAGGGTTGTCAAGTCTATTTTGATAAATTGTTTTGTTATTCTCCTGATATTGAATCTCATTAGAAGGTTTTTGGAGAAGGTGTTTTAAAGAGCTAAAAAACATAATGTTCAAATCAATAAAAGTAAATGTAGATTCATGCGAACAAAAGTAACATACTTGGGACACCAGATATCCTATAATCGTATGACACCAGATGACAGTAAAATTAAGGCTATAAAAAATGTGCCTAGGCCAAGGGAAATTTTGGGTGCTCAAAGATTTTTGGGTTTGGTCACCTATTTAGGGCGTTTTGTGGAAAATTTGTCAGAAAAAACAGCCCCTTCAAGGTCTCTCTTAAAAAAAAGTGTAAACTTTGTTTGGGAAGCAATTCACGAACAAACCTTTTTGGAGTTGAAAGAAATACTGTGTCAGGCACCTTGTCTTAAATTTTTTGACCCCTTAAAAACAGGTAACAATAACAGAAGATGCCTCAAAGGATGGCACGGGAGCTTCTCTGCTGTAAGATAGTAGTGCTTGTGCGCACGCATCTAGGGCTTTAACAGATACGCAAAAGGGTTACTCACACATAGAAAAAGAATGCTTGGCAGTGTGGTTTGGGTGTGAGCGCTTCTATCAGTTTGTGTTTGGCTTGAATGACTTCACTGTTGAGACGGATCACTCCCTATTAATTCAAATTTTCAAACAGCCTGCTATTAGTTTTTGTCCACCAAGGTTGCAACGAATGATTCTTCAACTGCGCAATTTTAACTAACTTCACTCTAGTATTTAAACCAGGACAAAAATCAGTAATAGCTGATACGCTTAGTAGGGCCTATGAAGAGAAGCATTTCAACGATAATCTTGATCTGGAAATTGAGGCTCACTCAGATTTGTTTGGTCTCTGATTGTTCAAATGCAACGGATGAAAAAGTTCAGGAACTGATAAGACAAACAAGTTTAGATACAGACTTGCAAAAATTAAAATCATATAATTTGCCTGGTTGGCCTGGTAAACTGCAAAATGTTGCAGAAAATATAAGAGTCTATTACTGAACTCTCCTATGTAAACAATTTGCTGTATAAAGGTAACCGATTAATAGTTCCTAAAGTGGCAAGACAAGACATTCTGGGTAAGCTTCATTCTATCTCACAATTAGGTGTATAGTCTATCGTTTCTCAAATGAGACAAGGCAAAAATTGGGGTCTCCTCAAATTATCGTATTGCCCGTTAAAATTATTATACTATTATTAGGAAAAATATATTGAGCGTGCTCGTATACATTGGATGCGAATCCACTTGCGAACAATGCATCTTATTGGTTGTTTTATACAGTCAACGTTGACTCCAGAAATATCTTATTGGTTAGAATTTTTAGCAGCGTATTTGGCGGCATATTTCTTTGAAGCGGCCGCGTCTTTGGCGGCATATTTCTTTGTAGAGGCCGCGGCTTGCCAATCAGTTTCGTCTGGAAAGACAGTGCAGTAGATAGTTTTTATAAATTTGATTCCTATTTGAGTTGTATCGTGCCTCATGTTTTATTTTATATAAAACTGTTTTAATAAATTTCTATTACCCCGCCCGTGCTTCATAAAGAAAACGCAGACGGCCAAAGGAATATTATTTTTTTTACTGTCTCATTTGACTATCGATAGACTATAAAAAAATGTGTAGAAAATGCAAATTTATCATTCTATTGGCCGTTTATGTATCAACAAATACAGGACATGGTGTTGTCCTGCAAAACATGTCAAATTCACAGTAAAAACAATCAGTATGACTAGTCTGAGCCACTGATATCCCTAAAGTACCATGGAAAAAGGTCGCGTGTGATATATATTCAAGTGGGGATCTTACTTCGAAAAATGTAATTTTGCATTTAAAATCCATCTTTGCAAGACATGGAATACCAAAGTCAGTTTTTTCTGATGGGGGGCAAGTCAAGAATTTGTAAAGTTCTCAAAAACATGGCAATTTTCTCATGTTACCTCATCGCCCAGTTTTCCTCAGCCCAACGGTCAAGTCGAAAGACAAATAAAAACAGTAAAAACATACTTAAAGAGTGCAAATACGAAAACTAAGACCCTTATCTGGCATGGCTTGTCGGCTTGACCTCATGAACACTCCTTTGGATGGAGAATCATCACCATCAAACTTATTCATGAGCAGACCATTACGTGATCTTTTGCCTAGACCTATTATTATCGAGCCGAGCTCGTGTTCAAATGCAAAATATAGTAGACATCTAAACATAGCTGAAAGTAGGCAGAAATCGTATTTTGATAAAAATGGAGTAAAAACGTTGTCAGCATTAAATGTAAATGAGGAAATTTTATATAAAAAGGACCTCAGTCAGAATTGGTGCAGGGGAGTAATTTTAGAAAAAGTAAGTATTCGTTCTTATATGATTCGCACTGAGAAGGGTTCAACATTAATTAGAAACTGTAAATTTCTGAAAAAATTTAAAAAATCAACCTTTTGTAACAAAAATGTTGAGCCCTCTGCAAGTGATTTTGAGTTTGTAAAAAGTGACGATCCCTTATGTGAAGACTATGTATATTTAGGTTTAGGCAATGACAACCTAGTCCAGGACAATGAACTAACATTAACTGATTTTGATGGTTTAGAGTCTGAACATTCAGAGCTCGAAAAGTCATCTAGTTCGACATCTAGTGCTTGTAGTTACGAGTCCACCGACTCTGTAATTAATTGGAATATAGAGAATGAAGCTGGGCTTTCCACAGGTGAGAGCACTAGCGTATCGAGTGCAATGTCTAGCAATTATTTTTTGGAGAATACAACTTCTCAGACTGTTACTACTACGTCTGACAGACAAGTTAGGAACAACCAAAAGTTCAACGATTACCTTAGGTTTAAATAATAAACTGCTTGAATGTTCTGGATTTGGTTGTCAGTTGGGAGTTATTGGTAATGTAAATAATGTGTATAGTAAAATGCTGAACCTGCAATGTAGGGAAACTCTCATTGTTCATTCAGAAACAAAGCCTACTTGATAAGTGTGTATGTTTATATACAGGTTATGTTTAAAATAGAAATGTTTTGTTTTTTAAAACTGTGATTGATAGATATAGTAAATAATAAGACCGAAAACGTTAATCTCTGCATTTTATCTGTATAGCTGTATTCAATAATTTTAGTCATATTGTTGAGTACAAGTTCAAATTAAAAAGGGGGATGTCAAGGTGCGCAATTATGAACGCACCCCCTCATGACACACGTCATTATGATGCATAGTTCCACGTCATGAATTAACGACATTCTTGTCACAGCTACCACCTGAAGACCATCATTTCTCCTCCTTTCTCTCCTCACCACCCAAACACCACAACAGAATGAACCTTGCCACTCTGACTTGAACCTCCTTAAATCGGTTATTTCTTTAATATGATCAGGTATCATATTACATACAGGGTCACAATTTGAAAGGTAGCAATCGAGAATATCTCTTAGACAAAAAATACTATCAGGAAGATCTCAAATACGTATTGGCGGATTGGAGGTGGAACCAAAATGAGGCACTTTTTGAGTCACCCCGCCTCACCCCTTAGGGAGTAACTACCACAACTTCTTGATCTGCTATTTTTGAGTCACCCCGCCTCTCCGTCAAATAAAAATGGATCAATTTTGCACTCATACCTCTCATGCCTTAAGCCATAATGATCAATGGTCTCATAGGTTTTTGAGGACTCAAAATACAGTCCTCCTACTTGCATTATGATCAATTTTCTCCATTATCACTATCAAATAGTGTTAAATATTGCCAGTAGTTCAGTTGATCGTGTTCTATAAAAGTGATAAGTCTGTTATAAATAGCCTTTTCACTGATGATAGAAGTTACACCGGCTTAAAATTTCCTGGATTATCTACATCTCCTTATACTCATGGATAGGGATAAGTTTGGTTTCCATAATTGGGATGTTAAGCCGCATTCATTTATAATATTTGCTAGAGAGCAACAGATCGACTCGGCCACGTATTTCAGAATACATACAGGAATCTCATCCGAACCATTGGAAAATTTATTAGGGATGTTCATAATTTTGTTGAATATTTATTTATCCGAGAATAGGCTATAAGCTATAAATGGTGTGGGAAAATGATCGTTAGTAATGGACCATACAATGTTTTAAATTTAGATTTCACACCATTTCATGTTATTAGTTATATGCTTATTATTTATAATTATGTAGGTATATACCTCGGTATATACCTAATTATAAACTTCAAGCTTAAAATATTTAAATACTAGAATGTCTAAAATAACAGAAAAATAAGTAAGTACTTACGCATCTTTTGCCAGAAGAAGTGCTGCTTGAGCTGTCGCTTTTTAAAGTCCTTTCTTTTTTAAATAACGATCGTGGCATCGGAGTAGCACGGAATTCTCTGCCTTGTCGTTCTTCATCCATCATCTAAATAAAAATGATTTTTTTATATAAGAGCGTAACTATATACTACATAAAAATCAATTTTTTAAAGTGTAGAGTATGTATGAATTTACGGGTTTGATACAAACTTGTATACAAGACTATTTCAAAATTCGTTGTTGGGTTTTTTTGAAAAAACTGTTGATTGCTAATGATTTGTTTTAAAAATCAAAATCTAAGAAACTTAGCGGATAATTCAGACATTCCAGGTTATATTTGAAAAGATGCTCAAGAAACAGCGCAAATGTGATCCCAGGAAAATCAGAAATAGACTACAAGAGTCAAGTGAATGGAGTCGAAAGGAGTCAATACCTATTCTACTTACTTGCTGCATGAAAAGTGAATCCCATGCCGATATGGACTGAAATATTCTATGTTGAAAGCACTAAAAGCCTATTCTGTATAATAATTGATAAAAATTTGACGCATAAAAAAATTGTGGCCTACCTATAAAAAATCTCAGAATATTAAACCCTACGGGTTAAATTAAAAAAAAAAAAAATTGGGGAAAGCTCTAGACATTCGACTAACCAAAGTCAAGAGTACCTATTGTCAAATTCAAAAAAAAAAATATATATTTTATTGGTAATCTTGTGTTTACTTGGCGTCTCAGGTATCGACTGATTGTTTGCTTTTGACGAGAATAATTTCGATTAATTCTTTGGTAATCCAAGGCGGGATTAAATTTGGATAGTGAATCACATAACTATCTTGCGATGCAAGCAGCTCATGTTTACTAGTTATCTGTATTACCAGATGCGTGAGTGAACTTTTTATGCGCGACGGGGTTTGAAATCTTCCGAGCTCAGGAATGAGATTTCGCATCGAGTAATGTGTTACGTTTTATCTGCTACTGATGAATACTTGTTACCCTTTTAGAAAGAATTTTAGCATTTGGAAATTGACAACTTCAAAATGACAGTTTTGATCAATTTCAAACAATTGGGATTACACTCTTATATTATATCCACGAATATGTAACTACTTGTTTTGCTTTTTTTATTGTTATTTATTAGTAATTGTCTCGACATGGCTGTCTAGATTAAATAAAAACAGAATTTATTAAAATTTGGTTTTTTTTTTGATAGGGTGATCTATTATAAATGTCACCCCTCCTAAATTTTTCATTTGACGTTTTTGACAAAGGTGTCAAAAACAAAAGTTTTGAGAAATTGTCAAAAAGTTTTCAAGCATATGGGGTGCGTCAGTAAAAAAGTGAAGTAGCAGTGCGAAGTTATATTATTTTAAATGGAACACCATGTATTGTGCGCTTATTCGTTAGTCCCCTTCAACCTGATTTCAACGATATATGGTTTGATATGTCTATCTTCAATAGTTTTAGGGAAAAACATGAAAACCCCTTTCAAGGTCTCATGTTGAAGAATGGAAAATTATACCAAGTTTTTAGAGGGAATTGTTTATAAACCGAAGTGATTTTTGAGTTTTTTCCCTATAACTATTGAAGATGAACCGAGAGATAAACATATCAAACCGTATATTGTTGATAGCCGGATTCTATTTTACGAGTCGAGTCGAATTGTCTGTTATGACACCCGATATCGAATACTTACCACAGCTCCGGACGTATCGTGTAATACGTATAAAAAATCGGAGAATAGAATCGCTATATTGACAATTCAATATGAATTTCAACTCTACTCGTAAAACAGAATCCGGCAGCAGATAGTTATTCCCAGAATTTTCTAGAAATTATCATTTAACAAAAAGGACAATTGCAATAACCTGAATAAATCTCAAAAAAAATCAATAAAATAAATCAGAAATAAATAACAATCTTAATTATATCAGGAAAGTTCACAATAAAGTGAAGATGCCTCTGCCATTCATTCGTCTCTTTTAACTAGAAACGAACTAAAAAACCCAAAACAATTTGAGGAGGTGAAATAGACTACAAACTAAGAATAGATTGTGGATGTTTTTTTTTTTTTTTGTGAGCATTTTATTAAATTAAATTGGACAGAAAAAAAGATTCTTACTTTCTTGATAAGCTGTTCCCTTTTCCTCAAACGCATATTATCTCTGTTTTCAAAACTGAACGGCGCAGGTACAGTTCTAGTGGGCACAACTGTTGTAGAAGTACCTGTAACTTTTTTTGTAGCTTCTTTTTTCTGTGGTTTGTAGTTTTTCATAAACATTGGAGTCTCGGGATCAGTAACTGGACGTTTCTCGACTTCCGGCAAAAGTGGAGGCAAGTAGATGGTTCTTGGAATCGGTAGGGCTTGGAAGACAAATTGTTGTTTTGGGATTATCTGAGAAATTATATGCAATTAGTACAAAAATGAAGGGCCTGAAACAATGTTGTATAAATTCTATGACTTTTTTGTTGATTTTCGATGCAACTTCTCTACTTTTGTATACTTACTTGTTTCAATTTTCCATTCCATCATTTTTATTCGGTTTAGTGAGAACAAACAAAATTTTGAGCCTTTACCCTTAAATAGAAAAAAAAAACACTTACTTTTTTAGGAGGTGGACAAGTCAGCTTAAATGGCTCAGGCTTAGTTACTGGCTTTCTCTCAATCGGCACACTTTTCGAGGGGTTATGTAGATTTTTGTTTACTGGTTTGGCTTTAAATTTTATTCTAGAAAATAAGGATTTTTTAAGCTTTAGTTGAAATATTTTGGGTTTCTTCTAAAATAGAGCTAGGTACATATTTGCAGTACAACAACATAATAAATCTATTAGACACTACAGTCCAGCATAATCTAGGTTTTAGTTATAAAGGTTGTAAAAGACCGGTTTTAATAAAAATTGAAATGATCCTTCTCTCGAGAAGGAAGTATTCCCAGGAGTCGGATTCTCATCTCAGGGAGTAGAGCTCCTCGATAGAATGAACCTTTGGTCACTGTCAACGTAATCGAAAAGTAAACGAGAATGATAAAGACGAAAAAATTGTTCTCTCGGGGGTTCTACCTCCTGAAACAAGAATCCGTCTCCCAGGAGTTTATAGGATCCAAAAAGTTATCCCATAAATTTTTTTTTGGAAAATTTCATTACCTTGTTTGTGGGTAGGTAGCAAGTAGCGAATTTTCACAGAAAGTTAAAATATTTAGGAGAAGGAAGACTAAATTTCGAAGCATATTATTTATTTTATTCGAGTAAACTTTTCTACCAACTTGTTCTATTATTATTCGATAACATAGTTTTATGGCCTGAAAAATAGGTCCGTTAAGCTAGCACCTCCGCACTGAAATCGTGAAGAAATAACAATTCAACAAATCCTATTGTGGGGGTGCTAGCTTAATGTTTTGTTCTGAAAAAAAAAAAAAAAAAAACTGTACAGCTAATATAGAATAAATTAAAATTACTTCTGAATCTCCTCAAACTCCATCTGTTCCCGCTGCTCCTTGGTCATAATATGGCAAGGCCGTGTCCTGATTTTTGTCCTAAGCATTGGACTATGTGGCACAGTTCTGCATAAAATGTTTATTATAAGTTTTTTATACAACTAGTGCGAAATCTGATCTGAGTAAGCCAGGGGAAAAGTTATTTTTCATGTGGGAATTTTTTTTTAAGAACCCGACTAACTTCTTCCTAATCTAACATAAGTTGAAAGAGTCGAAAAATCGCCAAAAAACTTAGCAGAATTATATGAAGAAGCAACTATGTGAGCTTTATGAAATAGCCAGTGATAAAAAAAATCTTTTTATTAAAGGAAAAGGGCGTTCACCACTGGTAGTTTCCAGATTTATGGGCCAAAGGTATTATATTGTCACGGATTCCGGGTACATTAAAACTCACTCAAGACAACTATTATTAAACAAATTGAACTTTCAAAAAATTTACTGATCACTTATCGCTTATTTGAACTGAACACAATAAAACTCCTATTTAAACTGACTAATAACGCGATATTTATAGACGACATATTGTATTCAGGATATGAAAAATAAGCCGCTAAGAGCCAGACAAAAAGATTTGCATGGGCATGGGAGCTGAACAGACAGCCCTGCTATATTGCTGCAGTTCACGTGAACATGTCTTATCTCGTGCATTCGAGTTAAATCAAGAAATTCTCACTTTTCTGCAAGAGGAACGTCATGCAAACTCCAGACATTCTGGAGAACCAAACTTTTTACTAAAACTGGCAACTTGTGCGCCATATTTGACATAGTGGATGTCTTGAATCTGTCTCTGCAAGGCTAGAACTATATAATGCACCTATTGAATATGAAACTATCGAAGATGATTGCGTCGTAGAGTAGAAAACTGCACTTCTGGATAAGAAAAAAAAAATGACGATGCCGGTCAAGATTGTTTCCAAGAAATTTATTTATTTATTGGGGTGAAGCCCATTTAAAATTATTAAACTGTACAAGTGAACCAACAAGTGAATGCAATCATATAAAAATAAAAGCAAAATGCCAATCAAAATATAAACTAGTCAAAACGAAATAAGGACCACTTTTGAAAACCCATTTATTTTTAATGAATTTTGAATAACCCCGGTAAAGTGTTTATTTCCCTTTACAATATAAATTTTTTGTGCACACTTTATTTGTTTATCTATACTTATGATAAATGGAAATAGTCACTTTACCAGGGTTATTCAAAATTCAATGAAAACCTGTTCTTAAAAGTGGTCCTTATTTCGTTTTGAGTAGTATATAAAGCAGAAACAAAGAATGGAATAAGTGCCAAACCATGATACTTAACTAAAATAAATTAAATCAAACTAAATACAAAATTACAAAATAAAATAACAATTATAACTTGAGACCAGTCAGTTCTCGCAAATGGTTCATAGGGCCCAAAAAAATCAATGTCTCCCAGCTCATTACACAGTCTGAGGGTACGAGAAATGAAAGAGTGATATGCATAGTTGGTTCTGTGAAATTGAAGATGGAAAGTTTGAGTTATGCGGGTGTTACGTGATGGGACATGTAGAGCTATTTTAGAATCAAGTAGGGGCAGTCAATTGTGGAATTTAGGATTTTATGTATCAGTTTGAGGTCTTTCTGCTTCCTTTTTGAACTAAGGATTGATAAGTTCAGTGCATCACAAAGTGGTGCATAATGAAATTCCTCATTGTTGAAAAAATGTGTAATTGAGATATCTGCAAAATTTACGCTGCACACCTTCAAAGCGATGAATATGACAGGCATAGTTTGGACTCCAAGCAGATGCAGCATACTCAAGAGGTGTACGAACCTATGAGAAGTATAAGGTTTTCATGGAGTTAATATTTGCAAATTCCTTTGTACTACGCTTCATAAACCCAAGCATCCGGAGTGCTTTGCTAACTATGGAATCGATGTGTGAAGAGAAATCAAGATTGGAGCTCAGCAAAACACCCAGATCCCTGATCTGATTCACGCAGTCCAATAGCGTACCATTGATGTGATATATGCAGTCATTAAAGGTTCTAGACCTGTGGAATTTCATAACTTTACACTTCGTAACATTAAGATCCATGCCATTAGTTTGACACCACTGCATTAACCTGTCAAGATCCTCTTGCAGTGCATGGCAGTCATCAGGAGTAACGATTTTCAAAAATAATTTCAAGTCATCGGCAAAAAGAAAATATGAAGAGTGTAGGAAACAAGAACAGATGTCATTGATGAACAGGTTGAAGAGCAGTGGGCCTCAATGCGAGCCTTGAGGAACACCTGATGACACCAAGATTTGGAAAGAGGTAAAGTTGTTAATATGAACTACGTGCGTCCTTCCTGTAAGATAGCTTCCCACCCATTGAAGTAGAAAGCCAGAGATGCCAAGTCTCTCTAGTTTTTTGATCAGGACTGAATTATTGTAGAATAATGTTGTCTTTCAACTTGGCAACGCGTATTTTATTTTGCTCCGCAGACCATTGAATTTAACAAGTTTAAAGTTGATATATTTCTATAAATTAAGTATCAGTGTGTTAGTAAAAGTGTAAACTGTTTGTTAGTGAAAGGTTCCTAAGTGTAAACGTAATCATTTCCGGAATAAATTGTAAAAACTTTTGGAAACCTTTAAAATTCATGAAAAATTCCCATCATTATTAAAATAACAATAGGTTATTTCTTGTCTCCTTGCATTTTTTGCTATTTAGCTTATCTATTTACCACCTGCCGTTAAGGTAAACAAACTATCATTCGGAAAAAAAAAACTTAAAGAAAAAAAAAACCTATTAGTTTCTGTAAATACTACTCACTACTATAAACTTAAAAACCAGTGTAGTCCGGGTGCATATGAACTTTTATCTGGGTTTTGATCACTGAAATAATTATGGCAACTCATTTTAAATGCTGTAAGGACAAACCTCAAAGTAATTGGTGTTGTGTGATCTGTAACAGTCTTCTTCATCCTAGTTGCTTGAGAAGAACAAATAAATATACCGTTGTAAATAAGCATTTAGTATGGTGCTCCAAAGCATGCGCCGAAGAAGCAGAGAGACGTGAAACTGTTGGGGAGACGGATCAAAAACTAATTAAGGAGTTGCGTGAAGAACTTTCTCAAAAAGAATCTTACCTGAAACATGTAAAAAGAAACTCTTGCGCACTAGAAGAGAACGCCTTGGAAGTAGAGGAGAAATTGCTGGCTGAAATTGACAGCAAAAATAAAATAATTTATGACCTGAGAAATACCATAGAGCAGCTACAAAAACAAATTGCGTGCCGGAAACGAATTTGTCGAGAGGATAAATATAGCCAATGTGAAATTCAAAGAAAACACTCTTCATTTCAGACTGATAATAAACTTTTTTGTAGCTTGCAAACTCAAACAGAGCTTGATGGCGTCAATGTTGTGAACTTTGAGGAAGAGGCCAAGGAATTTCAATTGTTAAAGCAGAATATGCTAACAAGCATCGAGGTACTTACAGCAGAAAATAACTTCTTATCATCTGAAAATAAAAAACTTCATAATGAAGTTTATGCTGCACTGGATTATAATATAGCCTATCAACCAAATAACCAATTAACTCCAACTCTCGACTCTTCAAGGGACAGAAATTTACCTACGCAATCCCCAATTGGATCATGTGTTCAGAATAATGGCTCAGGTAACCCTGTCAAACTTTATAAGGTGCTAATTCTAACTGACAACTTTGCAAGATTTTGTTATAATCCATTATGGGAAACTTTAGGAAAGCAGTATTCCTTGCAGATTGTAAGCAAGCCGCATGCGCCAATAGAGGAGGTTTTATCTGCCGCAGAACTTCATGCCAGGGATTTTGATGTGTCCGATTATGTGATTGTGTTGGCTGGTTTAAATGATAATGAAGTGACCTCACAAATTATATCTAATTTCTCATTGAAATGTTGTAATACAAATGTAATTTTTTGTACTTTACCAAAGCGCAGGCAACGCTGGCTAGAGGGGGGTCTGGCTAGTATGAACGACTCATTGTGCAAAACAGTTAGAAATTCGAAACATCGCCATAAAAACATCGACCTCATTGACCTTCAAAACAACCCTATATTATGCAATTGCGATTTTATTTATAACTCCGTTTATCTGAAAAGGCAAGGATTGTATAAAGTGTCTAAAGTTATTAAAAACTTCATTGTTCAGCGCAATCCAGAGAAGGTTCCTAACGTGTCCTTATCTTTATTGAATTTCTGTAAGAATGACTCTCTTTCAAACGTCGCCGTCGTTCACTCGGGCTATGACTCTTCCTCCGGCTCAGACAAAGATTCCTACCGTAATACACATAACACTGGTGTAACTCAAAGATCTTTTTTAGAAATGCCTTTGGTAACTCGGGTAGCTCGACATTAGCGACTAATACGCAACTTTCACTTATTTTACTGAATATCCAATCAATAAAAAATAAAACTGATGAACTTTCAATTTTTTTAGCAGAGAAAAACTTCCCGGATGTTGTGTGTATAACGGAGCATTGGCCAAAGCAGGATGAAATTTTTTATATTCCCAATTATACTTTGATATCTAAATATTGTGGGACTGATAGCATTCATGGTGGAACTCTTATATTGGTGAACGAGGGGTCGCTTCTGGTCTATGGTTTCAAACAGGCATCGGAATTTAATATATATTTAGAGGAGAAGGTATTTGAATTTTCATTGATGCATTCGAAGGACAGCAATTTATATATTTTTTGTATCTACCGTTCACCTAACTCAAATTTCAATCACTTTCTTCAAAGGTTAGAAGTAGAAGTTCAAAGGTTAGAAGAAGAAGTCTTCTATGCCTATCAATTGCAAAATTATTCTGTCTGGGGACTTGAATGTGAATTTTTTGGATAGTGGTGCAGGTAACACCTTACAGATTCAGAACTTATTGGATTCCCACAATCTTAAAATGCATGTTAACGGTCCCACTCGTATTACACAGTATTCACGCTCAATGATAGATTATTTATGTACAAATTTTGATTCTGACTTGACTTGTAATGTTATAAATGGTGGGCTTTCAGACCGTGAAGCGGTGCACTGTTCTATTGATTTTCATTTAAAAAAAATTA